ATGGCCTTGTTCTTAAGGTGAAAAGATGGGTGAACATAAAGGTTATTCAATGCATGTCTACAGCAGCATAGGAAAGCCTCAGTGTTCCCTATAATCAGAGTTTCAGGGCATTATGGCTAAAAGCAGCTTTCTGGATGCCCAATACTTCTCCTCACATGCTGGGATTTCAAGGGTTATTGCTATGCTGATTCCATGCACTTATGTCCTACATGTGAGGAGCCATGGGCTCTGCCAATTGGGTCCCTCAGCCTGCAGAGCTCTTCCCTGGGATTTCTTTGGTCACAGAATCCATCACTTGGCTTGTCTTCTACCCCATGCTGACCAGAACATTCCCTCTGGGGCCTTTTCTGATGCTAAAAGCAAAGTTACTTTTAAATCTGATTTAGACTTCTTGTTTTCCTTATCTCTACTTTCACCTCTGCAAATTGGACTTTAGATACATTACTGGTGAGTCAGCAAATTACTTTCCACCAGGAAACTGACAGAAATAACACAATTTTTTACTCATATGGGGCATTATTTAGTTACCTAATACCCTGGATGCCATTCTGGGTGCCTTAATGTTTGCTGATAAAGTAAACTCAAGTTTTCTTCTCTAAGACAAAATTAACACGGAAAATGTGTGCTATATGGAGGTCGGTGTAATAAAATGTTAATTTGACATTTAAAGGTTTAAAAAAAGAGCACACGGAGGTTTTGATGGTAATTATGCATTTCAGGTTTATAGATTCAAGAGAATTTTTTTTTCTTAAGACACACAAGGGTTGGGATACAATGCTATCATACTGAATATCATAAATAAACACATCAAAAAGAAAAACGTTTGCACTTTGCCATTTGTATGGAGACTGATCACTTTCCTGCCAATTTATCTATAGCTGAATCTCTGAACTTGTCAATGAGAAGGTAACCCAATTATCACTGGCAATTGCATGCGTTCATTGAGGAGTAGTCAAATGCTATCAAATATTGTTTATTTAATAGACATTCTGAAAACTTAAACTTGAAGATATTGAAATTTATTTTACAGGGGGGCAAATTTTTCAGACTAAACCAAAACAGCTTTCACTATAAAATAAATCCCTCTGAAACATTCTTTGTAATGTTTAGAAAGTAATTTGGCAGTTTGAATCGAGAGACTTAAAAATAGTCATAGTCTTTGTTCCTGTAATACCACTTATGAAAATCTATCCTAAGGAAACAATCAAATATGTGATAAAAGATTTAATGAGTAGTATGCTCATTACAAGCTAATTATATAGGGAAATAAAAGGAAATAATGCAAATGTCTAATATTAGATAAGTGGTTAAATATATCGTACCCATGTATTGCAAGTCTATGCTGTCATTAATGATCATTTGCATTTCTAAAAGTATATGTAATTCCACAGGAATTTTTATGCAAACACACTTTAGCTAACTTATCCCGACTTTGAAAATGCACATATGCAAATAGAAAATAAAAGACTGATACACGATAACCATTATTATTCTGATGTGCCTCTGGTTGGTGGAATTACATTTTTTGTTTTCTTTTTTTAAAAATGCTTCTCTATTTTCCATATGACCTAATGAATTATTCCTAATGAATATTTATTTAATTTTTAAAAGTCATTTGCTAGTTTTCTTGCTTATCTACCTTTCCTTTAAGCCAGTACCTAACTCAAGAGCCAGCTACAAAGGAAGTTGTTAAAGATGATTGAGAATGGAAGGGAAAGCTAGCCCTTTCTTCCCATATTAGTTTTATGTTTACAGATTTAAGAGGAATATGTATCTTGCCCCAGAGTACCTCAAAATAAATAAATAAGCAAAAAGCAAACAAATACAGGATTTCTTGGAGCCTTATGCCTTGCTGAATTTAAAGTGCATTTGGAGCATGGTTTCACCTTTCAGAAATTGTGAAACTTCAAGTGAAGGTCATGGAGAGTGTCAGCCTTTTAAAAGTGATAGGAGAAAAATAATCCACGTAGCTTTTTGCAGATCTCTCCAAAGAGGAAGAAGGAGTAAAGTACAGAAGCAGCCTGGTGACAGCCCTGCTGAGCCATCACAGAGGAAGGCGCAGCCTTGCAAGATGTTTACATGATGTTGAAACCAGTGGTGACACTGCTGGCCGTCACAGACACACAGCCTTTCCACGCCTCATGACTCATGGAACTCTGCTAAGCAAGAAACAGCATTATGAGAAATAAAAGGGGGAGGGGACTGGAGGAGAATTTTAAAGACTCAAAAAAATCCAAGTTTAGAAGAGACTATATTAACAAAATAGAAATGTAAAGATGCTATGGAGATTCATTCACATGTAACTGTATCCAGATGGCTTGGAAATCCTTAGTGGATTTCTAGGGACTTAGAAATCTGCTTTCTACCTCCCAAGGGTTTCAAGTAGAGCTTACTTTGTGACCATGGGCAAGTAACTTAACTTTTCTGAATCCTAGTTTGTTATCTCTAAAACGGGGGCAATAATAGTACCTAAGTCACAGGGTAGCTGTGAGTAGGTAAAAATTTTAGCACCGTGCCCTATTTATTAAAGATTCAATAAATAGGAGTTTTTTCTAATAATCACTCTGCGTATATTCTTAATGTCCATTTTATCTCACAAAAATGTAAATACTTTAAAGTTGAGTACATTTTACTGAGTTTTATCTGCATTAGGAGGAAATACAGCCACTCTTATTGCCTATTCAAGCTTTAAGATCTTATAAAACTATCTAATAGCTATTTAATTATGACCGACAATCTGTTAGTAAATGAATGAGGTTATACTGTATGAAAGTCCCACTCTGTTTCATGACTAGTAACCTCACAGTCAAAGCAGTAATTGAAGTTCTCCCCCCAATCTTGCCACATTTTAACACATGTGTATGTGTGTATGTGCATGTGTGCATGTATGTGTGTGTGTATTAGGCATGAATGGGTAGATATATTTGATTTTCCTATCTCTTCTAGCTTCTGTGGAAAGACTACACTGAAATAATTATTCTAACAACTCAATGATTTTCTGAGAGGATGGGTATTTCTCAAATGTTCACATATGTCCCATTTCTACTCTTCCTCTAGGGACATGACTTGACATAGGTAGGTCTTAGTCTTTCAAAGGTATTCTGCCTTACTATTGGGGCCGAATCTTTTAAATTTCCCCTCACCTCTCTAACACTCGACACTCAATGCTGAAGCTAGCCACTTATGTCTGGCTTTTTTCTTTTTTCCCTTTTAAGATAAATTACTTAAATCTTGTTGCATAGGTCAAAGCAGTATTCTGATCCATTTGGGTTCCACCTGCCAAACACGAACCCTCAATCACAAAAGATATTAACCAAAAGTGAACTTGGAATCCTTCAAGAAAGTCCGGATGAGAATTGATCTCCAATTGCCTTCCTAGGCATCCATAAACCAAACCTGCCCCACGAGTGCTTCTTAGTTTGACTGGAGAATCTGTGCAGAAAATAAATTTTTCAATAAAATTATCTGTTGAGATAAAGAAGTTTGCCCAACCATCTACATATTCATTTCTTGCTCCCTAGGACATTTTTATGCCCTTCTCCCACTTATGCCAACTTCAGATGAAGTGGACAACATTCGGGCTCGCTCTATTACGAGGGAGATGGGCAGAAGCAAGCCTCAGTGAGGCATCACAACCGTCAGCACAGAGCAGTTCTGTGGCTCCGTGTTTCAGTTCCTCCAATCTTCCTGCAGGATGTTGACTTTTTTCTCTTTCTTTAATATGCTGAGATATAAACATTAAAAAAGCTGTGGATAAGAATGTGGATATTCAAAGTGGATAATCTAAATTATAAGAATATACACCTTTTATATTGGACTCAGTAAAGTTATTATCAATTTGAAGAAGGGAAACATGTACTTTATAAACCTGCTTCATATGTTGCCTCTATTTAACACGAGGTGATCGGCACTGACCTAGAGTGCCCTCCCAGCATGTTTTCCTCATTAATATTCAATGGTTCTGGGAAGTTGGCCCATGACTCAGAAGTTAAGGATCTTTTTTTATGCTTGTAGAACTCACCAACAATCTAATAAATACAATTCGTACTACCACAAAAATATTTTAAAAGTCAGAATGACAGAAAGAACACAAATGATTGTGAAAGAAAATTTTGTGCCAAAAACACATGGCTAAGTGAGAAAAAATAAAGAATATTTATCAACTTTAAGAAAAAGGAAATTTCAAGCAAAATTTTGAGAGAAAACTGCCATTATGAATTGGATGTAATGACAGTGATCTCATAAAAACAAATGTTAATGGTTGATAATTAGAGTTATGTTACTTATGTGTGACAGCCCAAAGATATTATTGGTTTATTAAAAAGAAGCATTTATCGGTAGTATGTCTTCTTAGCCTGTGAGTTCACCCATCATCTTCTTGGTCATTTGTTTATATTTAAAATTACATAGCTAGTCACTATGGATGTTACTATCCTAATATGGCTTTCTTTTCAGTCATTAAGATCTTTTTACTATTACTCTTCCTCTTTGAACCTAAAACACATGGCCAAGAAAGCTTGTTTGTATTCTGTTTAGAAAGTGGGTATTTAATTAGTGCCACTTCTGTAAACACACCATGTTTAAACTGATTACATTTGTTACACATCACCTCCAACTATACCTTTAGCAGCTAAATCACCTTCCTCATCAGCTATCATTTATGTCTTATTAGCATCAGGAGGAAATGAAATGAAGTCACACCCATTTAATTTCGCCTCAGGATTCTCACATTTAGTCACTATGTTGATGGTGCTTGTTTATGATGTGAAGCATTAGGAAAAATGAATAATTTAATAATGTTATATAAGATGATGAGAGCACATTGTTGCAGTCTACTATGTCACAAACATCTTCAACCATAATTCCTGGGAGAACTGCACTAAAATAAGGCATGAAATTTTGTTACTGTGTTACTGTGTAAAACAATATACTAGCTAAACATTTTTCCCTCCCTCTTTCTCCCCACCTTCTCTCTTTCTTTCTTTCAATATTTCTGGCAGGTACTAAGCACAAAACCATGCTAGAAGCCCGGAATGGAAGCGGCACTATCAAAGCCTTTCCTAGGGCAGGAGTGAAAGGCAAAGGACCTGTTAATAAAGGAAACACAGGCCTCCAAAACAAAACATTTCACTGTGAAATCTGTGATGTGCACGTCAACTCGGAAACACAACTTAAACAGGTGGGCAGCACATCTTCTAAGAATAAAAACAGATAGGGAGCACCTTTATAAAGAGGATATTTGTGCCTCTTGTTTACTTCTCTTCCTGTCCCATACACTCATCCATCCACGCATCCATCCATCCATTCATCCACTCATCTATCCACCCACTAACCTTCTATCCTTATTTATTTATGCTTATTTTAACTGCTTGAGGGAATACTAAAATGCGATGACTCCCGCAGCCTTTCAGAAACTGATGGCATTGAATTTGTACTATTGTGGTATAGGAAGAGTGAGGAGGATATCAGATCTTTTCTCTACCAGGTTTCCCACTCAAAAGTGTTGATTTTCTTTAAAAGTCAACTTGCAATGTTCCATTTTTACTTGTTTAGATATTTACAAGCTACAACTAATTTTATACTGCACTGTTCTTTTATTTTATGTACTTTATTACATGGTATTACTGTATTTTTAAATCCTTCCGCCACCTGCTAAAGGGATGACTAATCACGTTGTATTCATTTTTACTATGAATAGCCTTCCAAAGAGATCAATTATACATTGCCAACTGAAGGCCCAACCCTCATATTGTGTTGTGTTTTATATGTATATGTGTGATATTTTGTTGATTTTATGCACCTTAGTTATTTATCTTTAGAATTTAAGGGGTTGACATTTGGCTGTACAAATGTGAGGATAAATATTAGTATGGAAATAAATTCATGCCCGCCTGGGCATCTTTGTTTATTTGCACATAAAATTTCTTCAGACATTCCTTTCCTTTGTAAATGCTTTTCTAAAAAAAGGAGATGTGTGCAGTGATAAGAAGAAAAACTGGGCAAAAAGATGCTTCTACTTGTTAAATATATACTAAAATGGATAGCATAAAAATGTATATCCTTTAAGACATCAGAATCCCAGGACAAAAGTGCATGCTTTTTTATTTCTGTCTTTCTGAAACTTGCATGGAAATAATCAATATATTTTCTCAGGTTAAAGCAATATTTGTAAGGTTTTTTTTTTTAATGACTTCTTTAAAGCTGTCATTTTTAATTGTTTTTAATAGCACATTAGCAGTAGAAGGCACAAAGACAGAGCTGCTGGGAAGCCCCCGAAACCTAAATACAGCCCTTACAACAAACTACAGAAGGCAGCACATCCACTGGGGGTGAGTGTCACTCTTTCTTCCCAAAAGACAAGGACTGATAAGTCTTCAGCGTCACACACTCTGCTGAACTCAGATTTTTGTTGGTGGTGGTGGTCAGTTACCAAATGGAATAAATGGAACGTATCTAAGAAATGACAGACAATTGATACCAGAGTCCAACCTCTATTCCCAGATGGAATTACTGGGTTCATGATTTATTTCAGTATTTTGCCACTACTAGCCACAGCCCAGATTTTGAGTTGAGCTCAGGTTTATCACAGAGGATAGGGAAGGGTGAAAAGCCAGGTTCTTTCGAGTCAAGTAAGTTATCTCAAAAAATCTGATCTTGATGTAGTAGATATACTTTTATGAAAGAAGGTCAGTGAAAAACAAGTTCTTATATGTCCTTTTAAAATGTGTTTAAGAGACAACGGATTGATATTATTGATACCCTCAACAATTTTGGGTTTTGAGTAACACAGTCTCAAAGTGTGGCTTCTTTTATTTAATTATTCATCCAAGGATACTTTCTAAGACCTAGGGAAATACATCATGGGAAACGATGCCTTCCCCCATCACTCGAAATATGCTTGTTAGATTAGTAAGCATACTATTATAATGTCCTGTCCTGGATTTTTTGGTAGGACTTTAGAGGAAATCTATGAAACCTCTTGACATTGTCAATTAATGTTGATGAACATGTATTTTGTTTTGTTTTGTTTTTCTGATTGAAGTGACAATGGCTTTCTTCAGAGAAATTTAGGGCTCAATGAAAAGTTAAGAACAACTGATCTCTAGTATGTGCTAAATTGTGCATTTTGAAATCTTTCTTCAACATAGATCTTAATATTTGGTGCCATTGTGTGCTGCTGACACATGAAAATATAGTTAAAGGAAAACTGCAATCATCTATTATGAGACCCCAGTATGGGTTGACCCAATTAATTTAGCAGCGTCACCCACTTTTATTCAAAGGAAGTTACTTTACTCTTCTGCAAAGACCCGATTTTAACTGCATTGGGAGGTGGAGAATTCTGCGCAGAGCTGATATTTCAGCACCACTAGTCATAGCCTGGAGTTCTATCTCTGGCCGTCATAGATGCAGCTTTTGACAATGAGATAAATGGTTCTTAAATAAGCAGAGCAGTCAAAATTTTATTACTATTGGCATCTAAACCCTCCCCTCCTTCATAACTATCACTATTTTACTGTTTCCATAAATACGTACATTCTTTCCTTGAGAACAGGTATCTTACTGGTGTACTAGCCAGAGAATGAACTGGCTTCGTAGAGTAGAATTAGGACATGGTTACTGTTTGCACAAAAAAGAGGAACATGTCAAACGTAGGGGGAGATGAATCTTCTTTACTTTTTTATTCAAAGTAGAATTTTGTTATTTTGGTTTTTTTGAATAATACTTCTCACCATTGGAAACAGTATCCTCTGTATTACCCAGTTTACACAGTTGGATAGTATAATAGCAGCTGAAAGCATTAACAAATCTCTCTTTAAAGTGTCTACTTTTTGATAGCTAATGTATATAGAAGGTGGCATAATAATTTTCCACTTTTTCTCGAGATGGATACTTCCCTCTGAAAATATAATTTTCAACAAAAATAAAATAGGATGTCTGAGTACTTTTCAGGAGAAATTTTCATCCCTGGTTGGCCATTTTCTGATATCTTCCAACTCTTCCGAAGGGAAAATGTCCTACACTTCCCATTATCTTTATTGTCAGTTCACAAGTATGAATTTTCTTTGTAGTTGTTCACTGCTATATTTTAAAAGCTGCCTACCCTTTTGGATTCTAAGACAAGACTCCAAAACTTCTGTTCTTTTACTCTGTTTTTTATTTTTCCCTTGCAGGTAAAATTAGTATTTTCAAAAGAACCTTCAAAGCCATTGGCTCCACGAATTCTACCCAACCCGCTGGCAGCTGCGGCAGCTGCTGCTGCTGTGGCAGTCAGTTCCCCCTTCAGTCTTCGAACTGCTCCAGCAGCAACACTGTTCCAGACTTCTGCACTCCCGCCAGCACTCCTGCGGCCAGCTCCAGGACCCATTCGGACCGCCCACACTCCTGTGCTGTTTGCTCCTTACTGAATTCCAAATAGGAGTCATTGTACTGCAATAATTTTTCAAAAAACAAAACTAAAAAAACAAAACAAAAGAGAACTATGCAGTGTTTATTTATAGTTTAAAGTATATCTGAAGAGCCAGGACTTTTGATAGTGAATTGAAAAGATTATTAAAAAGGGGGGGAGGTATGGGGATGGGCGGGAGGGAGTGATATTTTCTCCGAATTAAAGCATTCCTCTTGAACATTGATTGTTTTAGAAGTGATCTCCAGCATTGACTTGTAGTGGCATCTAGAACTTCTGAAGCCTTCGTGACTGTGCTTTTGGGCACCTCTTTACCCCCTGCATTGTCTTTCCTGCTTTATGAAACAACAACTATACATTGTCTAAGGGCATTAACTGGTTCCAATGTGTATATAATAATTTACTCTGTAGATCAAAATAATACGAAAAAAGAAAAAAAACAAAAGCAACACTGTGAATAGTAGTACCCGTGCTGGTCCTCTTGCTATGACAGCAATTACTGGGTATTTATCCCAACAAAAGTAGATACAGTAGATGTCTTGTAAAACAATAGTGCTGTGTCTCAATCTGTGCCACTAGGTTTTAAAAGAATTGCAATGGTGGAATGAACAACTATTTCATACCAGTAAGCAAACACCAAATGGTGTCATGCAGGTGTCCCCGGTCACCATTTTCCTACACTATCTAGCTTGGAGACAGAACAGGGCTAAGCTTGGAGGTGGAGGAGACATTAATAGAAATGATTTCTTAAAAAATATTGATTTCTCATCCTGAAGAAGTATTGCTGGAAACAGGCAAGTGTTTGTAATGAACCTGTATCTGAAAACAGATAAATCCATGCATCACGGGTGTTTAGGAAGAAATCAGTACAACAATTCTGTTACAAGGACGAGGGATGATCTTAACCTATGATAATGCAAAGCAAAGATCTTTCGTGTTAGTACATACCCAATAAAACAGAGAATATTGCATCTTTGCAATATCCCCCTTTATATCATACCAGTAGGTTGTCTCTTAGGCAAAGTTTTCTGCTTTAAGTATGATGGTAGAATTAAGCATTAGCTGTTATTGTGGGGTTTTTATTGTTTTTTTTAAGATGTCCTACTGACATGATATAAACAATTAATATATATTTAAATGTTAGTATCAAGAAAAGTGAATCTGAGTTAATTGCACACCAATGATATAGTGTTAAAAAAAAAATACTGGTAAGGTCCACTCGACCGTCATTTCTCCAGTGGAGTTGTGAAATACTGACAGCCTTTGATATTTACCAAAAGGCTGAAAGGAATTGATGTTTTACCTTTAAAACAAGATTTATCAGGGGTATATATAAATATATGTATATTGTATATATGTTAGAAAGATTAAGAGAATAACTTATAAAAAAGAAAATCTATATAAAATAATTATATAACCATCCAGTGTTACATGTTATCATTAAATTGGTAACAAATGGCATAAAAATAGCTGTGCCTTTAATTTGTGATAAAGGCTATTTGCTTTTTCCCATAGAAAGCTAACATATACCTATCAATATGGTGGAGTTTGATGCAGCTAGTCTGTTGCATTAATAAGAAAAATGACACTCAAACTTAGAACAATGATAAAACATATAAAAATCAACCCTATGTGATTTAGATTTAGAGAAAAAAAAACTATTTTTTAAAAAGTTTTGTAAAGACTATTTAAAAATACAGGGAAGGGCTGAACATGGACTTCCTGAAACTGCTCTCAAACTGTTGTAACCTTTGGAGAGGTATAAAGAATCAAGAGGGAATCATTTGAGAGATAGGTATTTAGCATTTGTCATTTTATATTTAAGAAACATCCACAGCGTGCTTGGTGCTCAACATTAAACATGGTCTTTGGAGTTCTTCTCCACCATCTAGCTATAGAAATTTGTCATATAAACACACCTTTAAAGCAGTTCACTTTATATATCTTTTGTTAAACAAACAACCAAAACAAAAAGACAAAAAAAGAAAAAAAAAAGGAAGGAAGGAAGGAAGAGGAAAGGCAAGGAAGAAGAAATGAAAAGACAATGTATTCCATCAGTCTTCTGGTAAAAAGAATGTCAAACTATGCCTCTCTGGTTAAACATATGGATTAGCATTCAAATTTGCTTTTGAAAGTATCTGGTTATATTGCATTTACCAACATTTCTATTCTCTGGTTTTAGCAAGTGTTTCCTTTTTTCACCTACAGACCCTGCTAAGTTCAGCCAGGTGGACTCTCTCTCTATCCCATGTGACAAGCTTCTAAATGTTTTAAGCTTTAGTTTCTTTTTTCTGCTATGTCAAATATTTTTATCTTTCATAATCATCTGAATCTCTACCCAACAACCTTTACAACTGATAAAGGTTGGAGAACTTAGCATTAACTAATGCAATCTCACTACAATGTGCTTTCACTGTTCTTCCCCATTTTCACCAAGTGAATGAGCCAGTTCACTAGAAATCAGGGTCTGTGGGATACAGAGTCCTGAGTCACAAGGCATTACTAACTTTAATGATTTTCTGGGAACAAACAAATCAGCCATATTTTCTCCATCAGCCATATGAGAAAACTCAGAAATACCTGGATCCCTTCTGCCTCACTTCGCTATGGAACCATTTTTGTTTAAATGGTCTTTTAAATTGGAGTTGTAAGCATCAGTTGTCTTTTACTCACTACCTAATAAAGGATGAAGCCTAACCACAGAACTTATAGTGGATTCTCTGTGAGTTGTTTCCCCTCACTCCACATGTTTGTCAACACCAGATCAACATCCGTTATAGCTCAGACTGCTATAAAGTTGTATCTTTTCCCTTAGGGAACTTATTTCACAAATAAAGATCTACAAGTTAGATTGGTCAGTAAGGGTGCTGTAAAAATCCCCACGTGTGGTCTGACTTTATGGTTATACTTCCCTTCCTGGGCATCACACCCATGGCAAAGGAAGTGATAGAGAAAACATCTCTGATTCATTTGAAGCAAATATAAATGCATTGCAAGAGCCAAATGCCTCTGGAGAAAAGCATTGTACACCTCATCCAGGTCATTCAGACAAATGGAAACAGTCATTGGGGAGATCATGAATTTCTCTTCTGAGAAAACAGGTGATTGCATGTGACAAATTGCTCCTCTCACTGCTCCTAAACTTTGAAGAGTAGTTGTTTTAGTCACATAAGTAAACATGCTTGGCTTATGGCAATTTATATCACAACTGTTTCATTGGAAAGGATCCCTATCTTTAGGAACTGCTGGGCTTCTGGTACATTGCGATAATTCACTGCCATTATCATCAGAGATATAATTTGGTTTTTTGAAAGGTGCTACATATTTTGTTGCCAAGGAACTCTTTAGCAAAGAGAGTGTTTATACTCATTTGGGAATTAAAAGAGCAGGAAATCATAAAACAAAGGATTGAGAATTGAAAGACAGTGGAATTTTTAAAATAGAATCAAAATACATGTGGATGTGCCTATCTGAGTTTCTAAGGCACAGACCAATACATACTGGACGTGGGCATTAACTTTCACTTACTTACAATTAAATTTTAGATTCATATCTTTGTCTCTGTACCCGTATAATGTTTCGACTTTTTTTGAACAAATCAGATCACAAAGCTAAAGGATAACTGAAGTCGTTTAGAGGCCTCTTTCTTTAAATCTGAGTTGATGTAGAGAATTACTTTTCTGTATATAAACATAAATGATATTGTGCTAATAACTATTTGTACACAAAGTAGCAGCATGAAGTGGTGGGGAAAGCAAATGAGAAGCCTGAAAGAAGATAGAGTCTATTGTAGACTTTGTCCCTGACCAGCAGGGTAACTTTAAAATAGTCAGCTAATGCCTTGCCCTTAATCTCTTCATCAGTAAAATGGATGAGGGTGATTAAAGGCCGAGCTGGTTTAATATATCAGCACTAAAAGACCACTTCTTTCAGCCTCTCAGGAATAAGACTGCTTTCTTGGAGCGAACAATACAGCTACTCAAACACTTGCACGTGTCTAGAAAAATGTTTTGTATTCCTTTCCATTCCGAATGTACATCACAGGGTAGATCATTCATTTGTCTCCTCAATTAGAATGAAGATTTCACCACCCAATATTGGAGGAGTTGCTAAATCGCTTATTATTCACTTATAATTGGACTTATACCAAAGTCATTTGAGATATGCTGCCTCTCTTTTCCCAGTCTAGAAAATAATAAATTCTGAACAAAACCAACCCAAAAAGAGCAATAGAAAGCTCACAAGGTGGGTTTGGAAGGGAGCAACAATTTAAATGCCTCATCCTTATTTCTTTTGCTGTACTTTCTCTTTTCAGTAGGAAGGGGCCCCAACTAAGCCATAACTAATTCTGACTTGAGTTTGCATGTATTTCAGCTAATGACCACCTTAATAAGACCATTTCTTCTATACCCAAGTATATCAGTTATGCTCTCTTGTCGTTGTTACAAAAATTATTTGAACTGAGTCCTGACAGTGAATGTTTTACTTAACGATTGCTGTTTTTATTAAACAGCGAGATTTCTTTATGGATCATCTCTTCTGGTCTCTGTGTGTTATGCTTCAATAACTAGAGAGGCTAGTAGCAGGAGGTGAAATGGATCATTTACATAGCAGGTCTCCACTGCCTACTTACTAGTTCTGACAGTGGTATCAGGACTTCCAGTGAAAGATGGATATGTTGATATATCATCCTCACGTGGCCTGTAAGGTTGTTACTTCCAGGAATGAATTTATAGCTTGCCAGATGACAAATGGCCATGAAAGGGAGGTTCAACACTGGAAAAACCTCAAATGTGCTACTTAATTAGAAGTCCATGCAAGTCATGAAAGGTCACAGTGTTTAAAGATTTTTCTGGTTGGGCCATCAATGTTCAGGTGTCAGAGGACAGAATTAGCTTCAATTTGAGGGTCTTCTTTGTCCTCTTCTCAGTGATGGAAACTCATCCTTTCTAGCTGGCCGAGTTGACTTTACAGACCGACAAAATGCGTTTGTCAAATGAAGTGAAATCTGATGATTAATATGTATGATCAAGTAGAATATCTTAGCAT